AAAAAAAAAAAAGAAGTCTATTAAGAAACTACTACTCAGGAGATCGTGTTCTCAACTTCCAGGTATAAGCAGGCGGAAACGTGCTTGGGATGATCAAGGGGCCCACGTGGTCCCAACATGCAATACCTCTGACACCAGGGAACAGCATGGCAGTAGGCAAGAGGGTTTGACCATCATCACTCTCCAAAGCTGAAACCTCCCCAGTTCAGCAGCATTTAACAGTTTCAGAATTATCTGAGTTTGGAAGGACACCACAGCAATCACACATACAGATACAATAATAATTCTCACTAAGTGACCACCGAGTCACTGCCACTTGCTTTGCTGGCTTTACCCGATTCAGTTTCCACAACGACCCCTAAAGCAGCTGTGGTTATCACCGTTTTACACAAGGGGATGTTGAACATCGTGGGGATTAGGTTACTTGCCCAAGACCCAGTAGAGAGTAATTGAAGAACCCAAGTTGGAATTCGGATGCTGCTGAAGCATCTGGTCCCTTTCTCTCACCCACCCTTTCTCACCCTGTCCTGATCTGCCCCTCACCCTCCTCCTGCTGCTACAGGTGGCTGCTGAAGCACTGGGCAAAGTAGAAATCTCCAATTTCTAACATTCAAAAGGGCAGAGAAAAATATCCACTATTTGGTAAGCTAGGCTTATATTCTAATAAGTTTGTTGACTTTCAATTATCTGATATATCTGAATGCTAACTGAGAAAATGAATAGAATTCTGAAGTTCAAATATAGGAATTCTACAACCTAATTCTAGCCCAAGAATATGGGGAAAGGGTAAAGAGAGGGGGTAGGATATGTGGAGGGAGGGTAATTCGTGGGACTACACCTATTGTGCATCTTACAAGGGTATGTGTGAAACTTACTAAATGTAGAATATAAATGTCTTAACCTAACATTCAAAAGGGCAGAGAAAAATATCCACTATTTGGTAAGCTAGGCTTATATTCTAATAAGTTTGTTGACTTTCAATTATCTGATATATCTGAATGCTAACTGAGAAAATGAATAGAATTCTAAAGTTCAAATATAGGAATTCTACAACCTAATTCTAGCCCAAGAATATGGGGAGGGGGTAGGAGAGGGGAGGGGAGAAGGGCGGATGGGTGGAGGGAGGGTGATTGGAAAGATCACCTCTATGGTCTGTCTTACAAGGGTATAAATGAATCTTTCTAAAACTAGAGTATAAATGTCTTAACACAATAACTAAGTAAATGACATAAAGTCTATGTTAACCAGTTTGATAAAATATTTCAAATTGTATATGAAAACACTACACTGTACCCCATGTTTGCATTAATGTACACAGCTATAATTTAATAAAAAAATAAAAAAAAGAAATATAGGAATTATATAATGTCTACTGCATGATTATACAGTTGACATTTGAACAACATGGGTTTGAACTTTTCAGATTCATTTACATATGGATTTTCTTCTGCCTCTGCCGCCCCTGAGACGGCAAGAACAACTCTTCCTCAGCCTACTAGATGTGAAGAGCATAAGCGTAAAAACCTTATCATGATTCACTTAGTGAATAGTAAATGTATATTCTCTTCCTTCTTTT